TTACATACTGTAAGTAAAGCTGGGTTAGTGAGAGGGAACCTGCAGAGTCATTGTGTGACAATACATTACAAATACATTTCTGTCCTGTCTTGTTCAATGACACAATCTGTTTTTAGAGACTGATTACAAATACTCAAAATAATAATAAGGGTTGTTTGAGGTTACAGTAACTGTTAACCACACAGGCCTCTTTTCACACAAAACAAAGCAAAACTGAAGAAGGCCCTGTGGTAACACCCAGACGCTCCAGCATTAGAGGACTGGTTTAAAACTGGTCATGAAATTTAAATCATGGAGAGAATGACATTTTCTATAAAATGCATTCAATGAAATGTAAGGGATTGTGGACCCGACTAGCTTGAATTACCTCGATAAATTGCCATATCTAGACTACTGAAGAGATTTGTGAGTGCATCTTTGTGGATAACTGAGTGAGTGTGACATTGTTTGTTTCTTCAGAGGTTTATGTTTTGTTTACAGTAAAATGAAAAGGAGAGCAACAGCTGCAAGAGAAGATTTTGTTTAGACATGTCTTCATACACTTGTCTGTACAATGTCTGTATCATCATATATTTGTATGTGAAGTGATTTATGCACATCTTTTGAATTCCATTTTACCCCACTCTGGCTTTGTGCATGTGTGTGATTCAGGCCTATATGTGTCAGCAGCATTTTTTCATACATTTTCACAGTTGTTAACCAACACAACTTTGATAAAATTTGTATTTATTTAATAAATTAATAAATATCAGAATTATAATCTTAACCGATATTATAAAGGCAACTTTTTGTAGGCTGAAAATAAAAATGACAAACATGAGTATAACTAGCACTCGGTCATCACATAAGATGTATTATTGCTTGAAATCCAGAGGTAGGCGGTAATGAGATTTTGGACACACAAAAAAACAACAACGCAGAAGAAGAACGAGATCCACTTCCGCCTTACATCACACCAGCTTCCGCCTCAGTCATACCTGAAGACAGCAGATAGAAACATGTCGGGACTCCTGAGGACCTTCGCCAGCCGTGCTGCCCCAGCTCTGCGGCAGCAAAGCGTCGCCCAGAGGGCAAATCTGTACAGCCGACCGGCCAAGGATAAGATCGGAGTGAAGGTGAGTCTGACGTTTACCTTTAATCCATCTCAGCGTCATGCTAACGTTAGCTAGCAGCTTCATGCTAACCGTCCTTGACTGAAGAGGTCAAAATAGAAGTCAAGAAAGTCTCAGAGTGGTCTTTAACACTGTATTCTGAAGGAATTGTTTAATAAATCTACCATACTTTATCATGAGTATTTAATTAACAGTCTAAGTCACTGCTCTTTCTTTCTTTATATCCCGTTTAATCAGTTTCATGAAGCTAAGCTAACACATGATGCTAACATGACAGCTCATCACGCCCTGTGTGTTTTAGAGGATGAAAGAGGTCAAACTGTGTTAAAATAACTATTTAAGAGGGCTAAATCCACAGAGTCACTTTGAAAAAAACACTTATTTCAATTAAAAGTTGTTTAATAATCGTATTCTTCCTCACTCCAGGATAAATGTATAACATCAGTCTGTCATGTTCAGGAATTTATTCAACAACATAACTTTAAATAACAAAGTGAAGGAGCAGTGTGAACTACTGTTTTATTGATCAACTGAATTAGCTCTGTATATAAACAAACAGCTGCACTAAAGCAGGAATCTTGTTCTTATATTGAGTATTAATTTGAGTGTGTTTTTGTAGCACAGAAAGATAATAAAGCCACACACATTTTCTGATGAAATGATCTGTGTTCAAAGGTTCACCTCGTTTTTTACCTGAGTTCTCACTTTGATCATGAACTACTTGATAACATGGAGCATGAGGAAATGTGATAGGATAGGATAGGATAATACTTTATTGATCCCCAGAGGGGAAATTCGGACATTACAGCAGCACAGACAAGAAAGATCAAAATACACATTAAACAGAATAGATGAGATAAATACAAATAAAAACAGGGGGTATATACAAGTACAAAAAGAACGATGAAGTTAACTATGCAGGGAATTGAGAATTGAAACAGTATTTGCAGAGAATGACAAGATAAAGTGACAAGTGATGATTAAAGTGACTTGGTATGATAAATAAATAGCAGCAAGTGATGTAAGACAGCAGAGAAGAGAGGCAGTGTTGTACCACAGTGATGCAGAGTGCAGTTATATAATATAATATAATATAATATAGTGCAATATGAACAATATAGTGTCATATAATGAAATGTTATATAATATAGACTAATATAATAAAATATATAGAATGTACAGTGTGTATATATATATATATATATATATATATATATATATATAGATGCTTAATAATAATAATAATAATACAATAATACAACATTAGTAATGATAATAATGAAGCAGGTCATGTGGGTAGTGTTTTATGGGGGTGAAGTTTTGTCAAGGACCTGTGTTATGAACCTTGTGTCGTCATAGATGGTCTTAAATCAAAAAGTTAGGATCAGTTTGCCAATTTCACATTGAAATGTGGAGTTCCGCTTCAGGAGAATAAAGCTCATAGCTAATGTATCTGCCAATTAAAAAAATAACTACAGCGATAGTCTGTGTGCAGAATTTTCCCGACCTGCACATCAGAGTTCTGAGTCGCTTTACGCTGTTGTACCCCAATACATTTAAACTTCTACAAAGTCAAGCTTTGATACTTGCACTGTATCATGGAGAAGCAGGGCTGAAACGTCAGCAGGCCGACCCCTCAAGCAGGACATTTGTTTTGTCACAGTAGTCTAATGGCACCAGTAGAGTAGAGAATGATTTTCTGCACCACTTGTAATAATTCCCTTTGCAAAATGATAATTAATGTCAAAGATACCGTAGTTTACACTATGCCATTACGTTCTAATTAATTCCCATTCTAGCATAATCCATTTTGTGATTCTGATATTCTATAGACCCAAACAGCGTCTGAATTTCCCTTTTGTGGCCTCCTTTTGAACGACCTTCTCAAGCTTGTAAATCCCTCTTTACTCTCTGACTGAAGAGAATATACGTTAGTAGAATGTCAGAGTTAAATTTGACTAATCAAAATTAGTTTTAATTGAAGAAAATCTCAAAACTTGTTTAAAAGAGTCCCAGGTTGTGAATTTCTTGAACAAGGAACACGCTTCAGTTTAGGACGTCTGTAGTGGTAACACTTATAAGGATCTGAAAAGTTTTGCTGATGAGGATTAGCTTTATTTAAACTGACAGTGCTGCTTTTTATATATTCTTCATACCCTCACTTTCTGTGGATGGACGGGGTATCTGACTGCCAGATGTGGATCTTTTGTTAGTTTGGTTAAGACTCTAGTCAGAGGTAACATCTGAGAATGAGTTTCTTGTGCCTAAGATTTATTCGTTATGGAGTTTGACTTTGTGAGACCTTCATGTAAGAACTTTTCGGTTTAAATATATTTAAAAGTTAGTCCGTTTTCTGAAACTGTGACATACTGTTTTATTTTTATTTTGCCTTAACAAGCACAAGGGCCAGTAGGACGATGTTGTTTTATTGTAAGTGTCACTGATGAATCTTGTTTATGTAGCAGTGAAGATGCTGATTGGCTGACTGAATCCTCTCTGTTTCTCATCCAGGAAACTGCGATCGGGATCACCATGTTCTCCCTGGCCATCCTGGGACCATCTGGGTGGATCCTGGCTCACCTGGAGGATTACAAGAATAAGGCATAATGTGAACATTTTAGCAGTCTTTTACCTGCCGTTTCCAGTCTCCAGTGACAACCTGGGACCATCTACATCTTCGATTTCCTCCTCTCCGCTGGCAGAGAAGTTTTACCTCCTCTCCTCTACCTCTCTGACGGCTCCACTCAACATCCCAAATGGAACAACTGTTTCAACAATATTGACTCCTTCACATTGAATACATTTAATATTGTATTGTACATCTTTCCTCTTAAGGAGTATGTTACAAGATTAAATTTTAAACAACACTTTGCTGCCTGTCGTGTGTATATTTCATCCCCTTGATGATACTTTGTACTTACATGATGGATGACTCGATCTGATGCTCCCATGTTTAAAAAAAGGTTTCATGTAGCCAGAGGACTCCAGAGGTTTATCCAATGTTGTTAGGAGAGCTAAAAATGCTTTCTGATGATAGAAGGAAGAAAGAGAACTGTCATAGAAGGTCATGTAATTGTTTCAAATTAATCAAGAACTCCTTCATTTTAAAACCTGTTAAGTTAAATCACAAGACTCCTACATTACATCAGATGATTTAACCGGTACAGCGGTGAGCTAATCTTTTTATTAAGCTTTTAATAATAACACATTAGACTTTTATAGAGCTTTCTGACTACTCAAATACGCTTAACAAATAACAAAACAAAACAGTGAAAAATGATACAACGAAGAAATAATGTAAGACAATGAGGAGTTTGTTAGTGGTTGAAGGCAGGCCCACCTGCAGAAATGTCTGAGCCCCTGAAAGACCCGGTGAATGGGCCCTCCCAGGATAAGATTTAAGCACATTCGATCAGTACTGTTAGTGCTAGTCTCCTGGCTCGCCCTCAGCCTCTGGAGACGACTGAAATAAGTTTAACAACTTCATGTTGGGGTCAAATACTTGAGCTAGCCCCCTCCTTTTATACACCTTTCTTTTCTGGCATGCTAAATGGCTTTACTGACTGCTACAAAACTGGCACAACAGTAAAGTTCACTGGTCCCTCTTATGTCGGCAACATTACCAAAAAAAGTCTCATATTGCTTAAAAGGAGCTGGTTTATATTTATAAACATGCTACATTTAACTGAAACAATAAATGTTGTTTAAGAGGTCTTGGTATTTAGGAGTAAAAATACTCTTTGGACATTGTTGCTTAAATTGAGGATGGACCGTGTTTTGGGGCCCTCCCCATGTGACTGGGCCCCTCTTATCTAAGAACACAGAATCAGAATTTGTCTTTGTGAATGAAAAAACTTTTGGTTGCAGATTATGGAGTGAATCATATACTTAAGCCGGTTTGTTCTGGTATTAGCTGATAATATCCTTTCGTAAAAATGCATTAACAAAGCTCGTTAATCATAAAACATTTTAAAATCATTGTTATTTGTTTTACTTGATAAAGGTTTGAGAAAAAAACGAGGAGATGATCATGTGACAAAAAACTGAAGTTTCGTAACAACTGGCTTCTCGTCTGACAAACAAAGAGGTAAAACACGACATTATTACATTGTACAGTTTGTTTGATTTAACATTTCATCATATTCATCTCGTACTTTAGGGACTTAGCTGACCTGTCATCAGTGAAGTAAACCCGGAAACATTATGTTGCTGTTGCTATGCTTGTTGCTAGGCTTGCTAACGTTAGCTGCTGCATCACCAAACCCCATAGACAAATATGTCGATTTAGCAGGTTGATACAAAAGCATAATTTAACTCTTAACGACCTCCAGTTTCAGTCGGAGAAGAAAACAACTTCCATCCTTTAATATGCCGACATTTGTCCACAAGGTTTTCTTAAAATAAATGACGCCTATTTTGTGACAACTCTGATAATAGTCAACAAAAAGTAAACAGGAAGTGGCTCGATTCTGAATGATGTTTGGCGAGGTGTGAGAGGCTCTAACTTACAACACGTTTTTATTAAAACTTTAGGTATTTATTATTGAATCATTACTTTATACTTTATTTCAGACCCAGAGGTCCATATCATCATATGAAAGATCAGAATAAATATAAATAAGGGACATCAATAAATGGATGAAATCACTACAGGTCATCAAGTCATTCAAATGCAAAGAGACATTTGCACCAGTGTTTCCAGAAACACGAGAAATACCTTGTGTCCCTTAGTGTGGGCTGAGCCAGAGACATCATGATGCCCTGACCCTAAGTGACGTGCATATAACAACCTGCTTTGTCTTTGTTTTTTATTTAGAAAAGCAAACACAATGAGGCTGGTGATTCTGGACGACTATGACCTGGCCAGTGAGTGGGCGGCGAAATACATCCGCAACAAAATTATCCAGTTCAAACCCTGCGCTGAGAGATACTTCACTCTGGGCTTACCCACAGGTGAGAATCATCCACACTAACAGTGATCTTTCTTTAGTGTTTTATTGGATCAGTCACATTACATATCAACCCGCCTCCTCTCTTCCAGGGAGCACTCCGTTCAGCTGTTACCAGAAGTTAATAGAATATTACAGGAATGGAGATATTTCGTTCAAATATGTGAAAACCTTTAACATGGATGAATATGTAGGTGAGTTGTAAACTATTTATTAAAGTCTGCTTAAGTTTTTGGGAAGATCCACCCCCCCCCCCCCCCCCCTCCCTCCAATGCAAAGAATGCAAAGAGAAAAACCTGAAGTATCCTCACTCTTGAAGTTGGACTTATTTCCCTGCATCTCCTCTTTCTCTTCAGGTCTACCTCGTGCTCACCCAGAGAGCTATCACTCCTACATGTGGAACAACTTCTTCAAGCATATCGACATCGATCCAGCCAACGCTCACGTCCTGGACGGAAACGCAGACGACCTGGAGGCAGAGTGTGAAGCCTACGAGCAGAAGATTGCAGAGGCCGGCGGGATCGAGCTGTTTGTTGGAGGTCAGACAGGACGTTGGATATTTCCTTGTGTGTCGAAGAAATCCTTCTACGTCTTGTGTGATTAAAAAAGCATCTCTCTTAATCCAAGCCTTTGTCTGTTGTCTCTCTCTGTAGGAATCGGCCCGGACGGTCACATAGCGTTCAACGAGCCGGGCTCCAGCCTCGTCTCCAGGACCAGAGTGAAAATGCTCGCTAAGGACACCATCGTGGCCAACGCTCGATTCTTTGGCAACGACCTGCTCAAGGTTCCCACCATGGCTCTGACTGTGGGCGTAGGAACTGTCATGGATTCCAAGGAGGTCATTATTCCTGTCCATTCACCGTTTGCTTTCCTCCGTCCTTACTGACATCTAAAGTGCAGTTTGACCGTGTTTGTGTCCTTCGCTCAGGTGATGATTCTGATCACAGGCGCTCACAAAGCCTTCGCTCTGTATAAAGCCATAGAGGAGGGGGTGAACCACATGTGGACCGTGTCGGCCTTCCAGCAGCACCCGCGCACCATCTTTGTCTGTGACGAAGACGCCACGCTGGAGTTACGAGTCAAAACGGTCAAATACTTCAAAGGTATCTGAAACCCCGCCTCCATCCTATCTGCTTGTGTGTAGAAAGACAAATATTAGAAAGGTAGAATAAACATTATAATTAGTCATAACGGGTAATCATTTATTCCATGTATCCCACAGAAAACAAGCACATGTTTTATCTGTTCCTGATTGTGATATAAAACAGTCAACATGCTAATTTAAAAGTCATGTTATTCAGTTTTCTTCTGCAGAACTTTCTGTGCTAATTCTGTTTTGTTGTTGTTGTTTGTTTTCTTTGAAGGTTTGATGCATGTTCATAACAAACTGGTGGACCCGGTGCTCAGCATCAAGGAAAAGTAGAACTGAGAAGATGACCGCCGAAGAGAGCTGAGGATGGTCAGAGATCCGACATGAATGGTACTGTTGTTCACCTGAGCTGTTTTCTGACCCTCGCCTGCAGATTTGAAGTGCAGTGAGAATATCATTCAGGTCATTAATGTGACAGAAATAATCAGGTACGTTGCATTTAAGATGTGAGAGCTTCTTTGCTTTTTGGAGGTTTTCCCTCTGAGGTTCTTTCTTAAAGGGACAGTAACAGTTAAAATGTTAAACTCACTGCTGTGGGTCTGGGTCTTTATCGAGATGGGATACATAAAAAGGTTCATGTCTTTCTTTTTCTTTATAAACTCAGACTGTCTCTGATTTATGTGAATGAAATGGTAAATAATGTATCTTCATGTTAGCTTTCATCAGTTATTCATGATCCCTCAATGAGTGGTAAGTGATCAGCAAGAGTAAGTAACTCCTCCCCATCTTCTCTGGAAACTACACACACATGGATGTAAAAGAGACCGATGAGTTTAGTCAAACTTTCAGTCTTTACACGTTTGTATCCAGTTAATGTGAACGATGGGTTCTCTCACTGTTACATTGAAAAAGCCACAGTCCACTACTGCAGACTTCTCATTTTGTTTAAAAGTGGATTCCTGTCATTTTAAACCTGGGCCTTTTTGTTTTGAGGCCCTCATGTGTACCGTCTCTATGTCATCCTAGTGCAGAATATAAAGAAAAAGGGCTTAAAATATCAACTGCCTTGTAAAATTGTTGTTTTTTTCAACCAATTGAAAACATATTTTCAATTTAATCCAGTTTAAAATCCAGTCCTCTGCTGGGATCAGGATGATCCAGACTTTTTTTTTTTCAGCAAAGAAATCCAAATCCTGCTCTCAAAATTTTTGAAATCAGATTTTTTGATCGTATCTGATTATGTAACCCGTTCGTTACATTTGAACAACGAGATTTAAAGATTGAATCCAGTTAGAAAACTTTTAAACAACCAGACTCTGGATTTTCTCAGATTGCATGAGCGTGCCGTTGTTTATGAAGGGAGACGTTGATCTGTGTCTCTAGTGTCAGATGTTAATGTCGATCTTCCTCTTACTGGATGCTGTGAATACTTTACAAAAACAGCTGATGTCATTTTTGTCTCAACTCCATTCAGAGAAACCTCATTAAAACTTTGAGTTTGGATGATTTAGTTACACAAACGAACCCGAGGGTCAAAAACAGGAACTTCAACCCTCAACACACTCTTGCATTTAGTTTTTGAGCGTCAGCACGAAGCGATCAGATCTTTATAACTCACTCCACTGACTGTGACCTCTCTGAAGTTCCTCTCATGCGTCAGTATTCAAACTCAGGATGTATCTGTTCACAGTCTCTTTTTTTAAAGAACATCTGTATCTTTTTTTTTTTTTTTAGATGTAAAGTTGTGACAACATTCCTCTGTTTGTCTCTGAAGTCACTCCTCCTTATCACGCTGTTACACTTCTTACTTCTCAGTGTTTCTGCACACAAACTGTACTTTCTACGTCTTTGTTTTGTAATGACAATAAATGGCTTTACTACGACTCGAATGATTCAAACTTTTGTGACCAATCCTTTTTGGAAAAGAAAATCCCCAAAGATTCATTGAAAGAGGGAAACATTGATTTTTAAAGTCAATGAAAGAAAGAATATGACATTGAGGAAAAAACACAAAAAGAAAACAGAAAACAGAACGAGGCTAAAATAAAACCAAATAATCTCTAGAAAAAACCATTAGAATGCGAAAAATATAAAAATATAAGATCATATTCAAATAAATAAGTATAGAAACATATTTCAGTGTGAGAATAATAGTCAAAGTCAACAGAAGAGAAACTTAAATGGTTCAACGTTGTCGTGCTGTTCTGTGTTTGTTCACAGGGGGGCGATCTTTCCTCAGATTTGACACCAATGGTGGCCAATGACTGAGAGGCATCATGACATTAGATTTATACATTTTGGTCAACATGGAAATAACTCTCTTAAACGTGTTAGTGGAGGCAGGAGCTCAGTCTGTAGGGTCTTGGTTTGGAGGGTTGGGGGTTCAATTCCTGGTGAGGACCAAGTCTAGAAATTGGCCCAGGAGAGGTGCCAGTTCACTTCCTGAGCACTACTGAGGTGCCATTGAGCATGGCATCAACTCCCTCTCCAGCTCAGGAGCCCCCCCATGCCCCCCCACTCTGACATTTCTCCATCAGTGTGTGTGTGTGTGTGTGTGTGTGTGTGTGTGTGTGTGCGCAGCATGTTCAATAACAGTGTCAAATTGAATTTCCCCTTGTGGGATTAATAAAGTAGATCTTCCTCTAAATATAATAAACAAGATTTGATACTTTTTATTGTCACCTTGGGGAAAATTGTCTTGGACTCAAAGTGCCACCAAACACTCAGCTGCTTCCACTTGAATCAATAAATAAAAACAATAGAACAACACATCCACGTGTTAGCAGAAAGCAAAACAATACAGCACAACCTACTCTGCACATTACCCATATTGCACAAGACCTGCAAAATAACAGCATGAGAGATAAGAGAATATAAAACATAATAGGGACACCATAATGCTAATGCACCACCCACACCGCCTCAGTGAAGATTATACAGATTAAAGGGGCGGCTCATTTGCGACACCTGTCACCATGTCCTGCTTCTCACATCACTTCTAAAAATGTTTCTTTAGGTTGATTTTAAAATATGTGTACTGTATGTCAAGACATGATGACAACGAAAGTATGACCTATTTCCTTCACGCCTGTATTCTGTAAACGCCCTCGGTCATAATCAAATATTCAGTCTCTGAAATGGCTCTTACCTTTTCAGATTCTCTACTCGACTGTGAGAGAAGACAACCTTTATGATCCCATGAAGGGACGATAATGTTTCAGAGCAGCGAATAGAAGTTAAAGAAAACATTTAAAGGACACATTAGTGTTTCCTACATCATGTGTCTCTCTTTGTCTGTGACGCCTCTGTGAGTTTTGCCTTATGTGGTTGAGTGTGTGATCAATTGAAGGTTTTCCTCTATATTCTGATGTTGTTTTGTTGCTTGTTGTGAACAGTTCTGAGGTTTTTCTGATGTTTGATCAGAGATTGGTCGTCGTTCAGAGAAAATCACATCATTTGCTTTCGTGCTGAAGGTTAGATGAAAAGATCAAAATCAATCTCTTATCTGTCTGTAGAATAAAGAGCAGGCGTCGTCGGGCTTAGCATACAGATTGAAACAGGGACATTTGAATTTTGAGCTTTTTATTTTTATAACCTTTTTTTTCTCTGACATTCTCGTGAGTTCACCCAAACAGAAATGTTAGAAATGAATCTATTTTGGGCCGAGGACGAGGTCGTGGTGTCGATGAAGTCATCTTTCTGATGGATCCTAGACCTTCAAGAAAATGTTATTTCTAAAATCAACAAGAGACACCTTAATACTCAAAATGTGGAATTAAATACAGAAAAAGGAAAAGTCAAGTGTTCCCAGAGAGCACTAACTGTGATTTCAACGATGACATTTGGTCCAAGCCCTCCTTTTTAAAAAATAAATAAAAATCTTTTGGGACATTTTCCCCCCAATAGATTAGACAGCAAATGTCGGGAGGAAAGAAAGGGGGACGACATGCGCTAAAGGGCCGAGACCGAACTTGAACCGACGACCGCCGTGGCCAGGACTACAGCCCTCGCACATAGGGTGCATAACACAACCGCCAGGCCACTCGGCACCCCAAGCCCTCCTCCTTTTTTTAAAACCATTTTCACCCAGTTAGACATCAGCATGTCAGAAAACACAAATGTATTATATCATATTGATAATGTCGTCATTAAAGGAGGATGAAAAGAGGAGGATCCATCGGGACAATTGCAGACATAATGGAGATGAACACTGATGGGAGGGCCCCTTATTAATTTTTGCCTAGGGCCCCAACAGACTCTTGAATCGCCCCTGCTGGAGGGAGTAAATATTTAGACTGTAAACAATGCAGCGCACGGAAAAGTTAGTGTTGGATGGAAGTCGTTTATCACCAACAGCTGGCTACAGCAGAATCATCACGAGGGTACAGATTGTTCCTATAGGCACAAGTCATCGTCAGATAACAGCGGATGGGTTCTGAGATTACATTTCCTGTTAAAATTACCTCCCACATCTGTCGCTGCCTTGGCGTCCAGATGGTTTCACTGTAACATCACACCACGCATTTGTCTCTGATTCTTTTTAAGTGAACGATGTGATGGAAATAGGTTTTCCCCATAGCTACATGTCACACCTGTTTAAAATCAAATCAATAATATCGTCATTAGATTTGCTTTCAAAGTGTCCTGCTCAGAGTTTAAAGTCAAAAAGATGTTGTTTTTTTTTCTGGACACGGAACCTCCTGTTTTCATCAGCCCCTTGTGTCCTGCCTCTTTGAAGGAGGGTCAAGAGTTCACTGTGTCTCACCATGAAAGTCTGACACAGTAAACAGTGCTGCGTTTGCATTGTGGCACCTCTGAAATCCATGTCACTGATTAAATATGACATGTATAAATACTGAGTAATTACTTTATTATGATGCACTGAAGCCTGATTAAACAGGCAGCAGGATGGGAGCAGCTCATCCTCCTCTGTGTTTTCTTTCTGCTCTGATGGGACCAAGTGACACTTGCTCTTTGCTTCTCTAATTTGAATTCATGATGGTGCAAATAGAATTCAGGTCCTTCTGAGATACACCATGGGGAAACCAATCAGGTGCCCACACACACACACACACACACAAACACCCTGCCTGGTTCTTATTTTACACCTGTTGGATCCACATCCCAGTGGCAGAGCAAGACTACTATAATGCTTTGAATGATGGAAACATTTATAGCTGGTGGAGACGAGATTTAGGGAACAAACTAGTGTTGAAGTCAAGACCACACTAACCAAGACCAGCAGTGACCGGAGTGCTCCGAGACCAAGACATTTAGGGATCAAGACAGAGTCAAAGCCAAGACCAAGACAAGACCAAGACATTTAGGGATAGAGAACGAGACAAGACCAAGACTGAGACAAGACTGAGACCAAAATTATAAATGAAAAATCATCGTGTGATCAGTCTGTCACTCACTTAGACCGTACCGAGAAGGTTGTGGCTGTAGAGAAAAAAATCCAACTACAAATTAATTGAAGTTATTTGTTCTTTGAGAAAGAACAGTAGCTAATGATGTGAAAAAATAGCCAATCAGTGGTGGTCTTGACCAGTCTTGATTTAAAATCCAGAGTCTGCTCAGTCTGAGACGAGACCTTCAAGAAGTAAGACCGATTTCGAGTCCTAAAACACTAGAACAAACATTACTAAAAAATATCTAATATCACCATGGCAACTGCTAGGCTTAGTAATATTACATTAAAAGGACACTTTAAATGAAACACAAACAAACTAGATTAAGTTATGATAAAATAGAAAAATGTACAATGTTTTGAAAAGTCAAGCTGTTAAAAAAGAAGAATGAAGTCTGAATCGCATGAATGAAGTTTGAATATTATGACATTAAATGGTAGTTTTGGTCGTAGTGTTTGTGAATCAAGTAGTAACATTACAGAGCAATGTTATCATTTCAGCGCAGGTGGCTGTCCGCACCTGTGTACGACAACAAGAGGGAAGGAACACTGAGGACAAATGACACAGGTGAAGACAACGAGGGCAATCACACTGGACCACAGAGGCAGGAAGAAACACGACAAGAAACACTGAGGACAAGAACTACAAAATAAAACAGGAGACACTAAAGACACAGATAACTCAAGAATTTAACAATACACACTAGAACAGAGAAACACTAGGAACATTAAGATAACACACAAGGGAAGGAAGCAACACCGGGACAAAAGACAAAATCATGACATTTAAGTATGACCAGCCAATGGGAGGTGATCAAATAACCCCGAGAGTATAAACTTCAAAATAAAGCAAGATTCAATTATTTCCTCCTCATATTTTTTATGCTGATAGTATTTTTCTTTTCCTCTAACCAAGAGACCCATTTTTATATTTTAACACAAACCTTCAAGAGATCTCTGGTTTAGTAACCGGGTCATGTAGCAGTCAACATGTCAATATTAACGTATAGATAAATATGTGTTCCTAATGTGAAAATTCAAGTGCATAAACATCCAGCGGGATAAAGGCAGATTTGTAACGAGATAAAAACACATCCTGCAATCACTTTTATTAACCAGCGGGGAGCTGATCTACATGACGAGGAGATTGATTAGCACTTAGATTAATACGCTGTCTTTCATCAGTATGTAAAACGTGTTCACACTGTTTCTCCTTTTATGAAGCTCTCTGTTTCCAGGAAACATAACGAGTCCTGCTTATCAGTGCACCAAAACAGACTTATGCACGATGATATCCAAGAAGCTGAGGATCACTTGAGTGAACCCGTTGTGGTGAATATTCAGTCAGCGTGAGGATGAGGGGTCTCTGAAGGTCTGACTCACAGAGGAAATCGATTTGTGGCAGCAGTGCAGCGGTGTGAGGCTGCAGGTGAGGAGAGTGACGGGCAGAGGAGTTTTATTGGTCTGTCAGAA